CATCTCCTAGCCACCGTGATGATGATGAGAGACACGCAAACTCCAAATATACAGCAGCAGGCATCAGGGCCGGGATTGAACTCACGACCTCCTGTATACCAGGCGAAGTAGTTAACATCTCCTAGCCACCGTGATGATGATGAGAGAGACACGCAAACTCCAAATATACAGCAGCAGGCATCAGGGCCGGGATGGAACCCACGACCTCCTGTATACCAGGCGAAGTAGTTAACATCTCCTAGCCACCGTAATGATGATGATGAGAGAGACACGCAAACTCCAAATATACAGCAGCGGGCATCAGGCCCGGGATCAAACCCACGACCTCCTGTATACCAGGCGAAGTAGTTAACATCTCCTAGCCACCGTAATGATGATGAGAGAGACACGCAAACTCCAAATATACAGCAGCAGGCATCAGGCCCGGGATCGAACCCACGACCTCCTGCACACCAGGCGAGGTAGCCGACATCTCCTGGCCACCGTGATGATGATGATGATGAGAGAGACACGCAAACTCCAAATACACAGCAGCGGGCATCAGGGCCGGGATTGAACCCACGACCTCCTGTATACCAGGCGAGGTAGTTAACATCTCCTAGCCACCGTGATGATGATGATGAGAGAGACGACGACGACAAGCCGCCGCCCCGTTGATCTGCCATCAATTGGCGATGGGCAGGCTCGCTTCTAGCTCACCGGCGCGAAATTAACGAAAACTTTCACGGTTTAGTTCACATCACGACCTTCCTTCCCCGCCCGCTATCCGCCCCGTCCACGTCCACGTTCCCCTCCGGGAGCCTCCTACCTCCCAGCACACCCCTTCCGCCTGCCCCAAATCGCTTCGACCGCATTCCTTCCCCCCGCGTCTTCTTTTCTCCCGCCTCGTCGCGCTCTTCGATTTGAGGACTCATCTTTGCCGGCGCCCTTTGCCAGGGCGCCGTTGCGACGGGGGCCGACATGGCAGGGGTGACGGGGGGTGGTGGCGGAGCGGCTGATGGCGACGGGCGGCGGGGGGGGGAGGGGAGCTGCGGCGGGGGAGCCCTGGGAACGGAGCGACGTTGCAGGGGGAGACAGGGAAGGAGGAAAGAGCTGGAACGTGACGGTGGATGAAGGGGTGGCTGGTGGCTGGTGGCTGGTGGCGGTGGTGGTGGTTGGGGGGTGGTGTGACGGACGGGCGCGACCCGGACGTGTTGGGTGAGCAGAGACCTGGTGATGGCCCGCATGGTCGAGCTGTTTGAGGAGCACAGCGGAAGGCTGGGGGGGCGGCGGGGAGGGGGGGGTGGTGAGAGACGTGGTTAGGTGCACGTAGAGGGAGCGAGACGTGGGAGCCGGGCCGGAGGAGGTAGAGGGCCCCGGGGGGGAAACCGGGAGCGGGTTAGAGGCCGGCGGTGGGGGGGGGGGGGGGGGGGGGAGGAAACGGCGGAGGGTGGAGGCAGTGGAAGAGAAGAAGCAACAGAGAAAGGAGAGGAGGAAAAACGAGCAGGGGGGGGGGGGGGGGGGGGAGAGTGTCTAACTTCCCATTCCCTTCCCTCGTGAGTTAGGAATTAGAGGTCGGAGGAGGAAGAGGGCCGAGAGAACTGGGAGTGGGTTAGAGGCGGGCGGGGGGGGGGGAAAACGATAGAGGGTAGAGGCAGTGGAAGAGAAGGAGCAACGGGGAAGAGAAAGGAGGCTCCGTAGGATTCTCTACAATTGTCCAAATGTATAAACTAAAAAAAACTCTTTCTTCCATTTGACCCCCCGCCTGCCGAGCTGCTACGTAGCTCGCATTGCCGGAGGCGACCCTGCCAATCACAAATGATGATAGCTCAACCAAGTGGCGGCTTATCATCGTCATCGTCACGTGGACATCCATAGCGGTAGTCAAATTCTTCCAAACACACAGAGACACGCGCAGACTGCAGACCCACAGAGGTACACAGAGACCCACAGACATAAACTACAATTAAACGATTTTTAAAATTTCACCAGGTCCCACTGAGCTGCTCCATAGCTCTTTGTCAGAAGTGAGCCTGGCCATCACAAATGATGGCAGCTCAACCAAGTGGCGGCTTTATCATCATCATCATCGTTGTCGTCGTCACGTGGACATTGAAAGCGGTAGCCAAATTCTTACAAACACACAGAGACACGTGCAGACCCACAGAGACACAAAGAGACCCACAGATATGCATAGAGACCCATAGACTAAACTACAATAAAACTATTTTTTTTGTATTACTCTTTGGTTCTTTCGGTAAAAGTCACTGTAGGTATAAAATAAAATAAATCACGACGTTTAGGGTGCGACACCAAGCGTCCGTCATCAGGCGGGAAAGCCTCGGTCTGATGCTGAGGCAGACTGTTTTAAAAAGGTTTGAAATGGGAGGGTCATAAAGAAGTGGCCGGGGCGAGTGATGTTAACGTGAGAAATTAGCACGTAACTGGGCACGGAAGTGACTATGTTAATGTGAGAGATTAGCATGATGTTAATGCGAGAAATTAGCATGATGCTAGTGTGAGAAATCAGCATGATGTTAATGTCAGAAATGAGCATGATGTTAATATGAGAAATTAGCATGTAACTGGGCACGGAAGCGGCTATGTTGATATGAGTAATTAGCATGATGTTAATGTGAGAAATTAGCATGATGTTAATGTGAGAAATTAGCACGTAACTGGGCACGGAAGCGGCTATGTTAATGTGAGAGATTAGCATGATGTTAATGCGAGAAATTAGCATGATGTTAGTGTGAGAAATTAGCATGATGTTAGTGTGAGAAATTAGCATGTAACTGGGCACGGAAGCGGCTATGTTGATATGAGAGATTAGCATGATGTTAATGTGAGAAACTAGCATGATGTTAATGTGAGAAATTAGCACGTAACTGGGCACGGAAGCGGCTATGTTAATGTGAGAGATTAGCATGATGTTAATGTGAGAAATTAGCATGATGTTAATGTGAGAGATTAGCATGATGTTAATGTGAGAAATTAGCATGATGTTAACGTGAGAAATTAGCATGATGTTAATGTGAGAAACTAGCATGATGTTAATGTGAGAGATTAGCATGATGTTAATGTGAGAAATTAGCATGATGTTAACGTGAGAAATTAGCATGATGTTAATGTGAGAAACTAGCATGATGTTAATGTGAGAAATTAGCATGATGTTAATGTGAGAGATTAGCATGATGGTAATGTGAGAAATTAGCATGATGTTAATGTGAGAAATTAGCATGATGTTAATGTGAGAAATTAGCATGATGTTAATGTGATAAATTAGCATGATGTTAATGTGAGAAATTAGCATGATGTTAATGTGATAAATTAGCATGTAACTGTAAGATAGGAGGAGAGCGGCCTCCTCAACGAGGGAGTGCAACTCAACGGCTGCAATCCAAAGGGCCTGTGAGCATGAGAGTGCAATCCAAAGGGCCTGTGAGCATGAGAGTGCGATACAAAGGGCCTGTGAGCATGACAGTGCAATGCAACGTACATGTGAGCATGAGAGATCTAAGAGAGAGGCATAGAGAGAGAGAGAGAGTCGAAATAACAACTGACATAGGTAGGTAGGATGGAAACATCACGGTCAGTTAAGACTTCACCTGATTAATAACGTCCTTCCAATGATTGCTCAGTTTGTACCCATCATCTCTGTTGAAGTTGTGTCTGTGTTTATATATCTGGATGGCTTCATGAACAAATCTCTGAAGGTAGCCGGTAGGTTTGCAGAGTACCTCCGTCTTGGAAAAATCAATTTCATTTTGCCAGGTAAGGTCCCAGAGCTGCTATGTCGATCTTTCAAACACGTGACGCCGATTCTAAATATGGAGTTGAAAAAAAGCGGAAGAACCCGGAGAAAAATCAACGCGACCACGGGGAGAGAAAGAGAGAGACGCAAAATCCAAATATACAGCAGCAGCAGGCGTAGTCAGGGTCGGGATCGAACCCACGACCTCCTGTATACCAGGCGAGGTAGTCAACATCTCCTAGCCACCGTGATGATGATGATGACAGAGAGAGAGACACCGCAAACTCCGAATAGACAGCAAGCGTAGTCAGGGTCGGGATCGAACCCACGACCTCCTGTATACCAGGCGAGGTAGTCAACATCTCCTAGCCACCGTGATGATGATGATGACAGAGAGAGAGAGAGAGACACCGCAAACTCTGAATATACAGCAAGTGCAGTCAGGGTCGGGATCGAACCCACGACCTCCTGTATACCAGGCGAGGTAGTCAACATCTCCTAGCCACCGTGATGATGATGATGACAGAGAGAGAGAGAGGCACCGCAAACTCTGAATATACAGCAAGTGTAGTCAGGGTCGGGATCGAACCCACGACCTCCTGTATACCAGGCGAGGTAGTCAACATCTCCTAGCCACCGTGATGATGATGACAGCGAGAGAGAGAGACACCACAAACTCTGAATACACAGCAAGTATAGTCAGGGTCGGGATCGAACCCACGACCTCCTGTATACCAGGCGAGGTAGGCAACATCTCCTAGCCACCGTGATGATGATGATGACAGAGAGAGAGACACCGCAAACTCTGAATACACAGCAAGTGTAGTCAGGGTCGGGATCGAACCCACGACCTCCTGTATACCAGGCGAGGTAGTCAACATCTCCTAGCCACCGTGATGATGATGACAGAGAGAGAGAGAGAGACACCGCAAACTCTGAATACACAGCAAGTGTAGTCAGGGTCGGGATCGAACCCACGACCTCCTGTATACCAGGCGAGGTAGTCAACATCTCCTAGCCACCGTGATGATGATGATGATGACAGAGAGAGAGAGAGAGACACCGCAAACTCTGAATACACAGCAAGTGTAGTCAGGGTCGGGATCGAACCCACGACCTCCTGTATAGCAGGCGAGGTAGCCTGAGTCACCACACAAACCCAGGTCATTGCGGACAGACAGACAAACCCGGGAAAAAGAAAAACAGATGGACGGACGTAGAGACAGACAGACGGACGCACGCACGCACGCACGCACGGCCGACGTACGTGAGAGGGCACGGAGGCCGAGAGGCGGACGTCGCCCCCAGCGGCGTCCGTGTAGACCACCAGCAGGCGCTGGCTGGCGTCGGCGAGGAACCGGCGTGCCGCCCGCCGGTGGTGATCCTGCCAGGCGCCGCCGGACGGCGCGCTGCTCAGCGCCACCCGCGATAGGATAGCGTCGGCCTGGATACGTGCACGCACATGCACACGCACACACACACGCACATGCACACACGCACACACGTACACACGCACACACACACGCACACGCACGCACATGCACACACACGCACAGGCACGCACGAACGAGGCAAAGGCAGCGTTCACCGGGTGCCGACACACAAACTCCGGTCACCGTCGCAGATGCGGCAGCAGCGGCGGTAGCGGCGTTTGGCTGGCCGTGTATACTGCGCTTTCGGGTGCAATATACACCACACTATACACTACACTACACACTACACTATACACTACACTATACACTACACTATACACTACCTACACACTACCTACACACTACACTACACAATACACTATACACTACACTACACACTACACTATACACTACACTATACACTACTATACACTACACTAAACTATACACTACACTATACACTACTATAAACACTACTATACACGATACACTACTATACACTATACACTACTATACACTACACTATAAATTACTATACACTACACTATACACTACAATACACTACACTATACACTACTATGCACAATACACTACTATACACTAAATTTCGATTTAAAGCTTTCGTGACTGCAAGGATTCATCTTCTTTGGTTCTTTTGGTAAAGTCACGTAGAATGAGAATAAAATAATAAATTGATAAAATAAAATAACACAATAATATTCTCGCGACGTTTCGGACACAACACAAGCGGCCTTCATCAGGTGAAGGGACGAGACTGTCTGGAGGACAGCGCTGGAGTGGACAGCGCTGGAGTGTCACTCTAGCGCTGTCCTCCAGACAGTCTCGTCCCTTCACCTGATGAAGGCCGCTTGTGTTGTGGCCGAAACGTCGTGAGAATATTATTGTGTTATTTTATTTTATCAATTTATTATTTTATTCTCATTCTACGTGACTTTACCGAAAGAACCAAAGAAGATACTATACACTACTTTACACTACACTACACACCACACTACACTATACACTGCGCTATACACTACACTACACACTACTATACACTACACTATACATCACTATACACTACAATAAACACTACTATACACTGCTAAACACTACTATACAAAACACTAAATACGACCATACACTATGCTATACACTACACTATACACTATACTATACACTACTATACACTATACTATAAAATACTATACACTACACTAAACACTACTATACACTGCTAAACACTACTACACAAAACACTAAACACGACCACACACTACGATATACACTACACTATACTATACACTACACTATACACTACTATACACTACTGTACACTACACTATACATTACTATACACTACATTATACACTACACTAAACACGACTATACACTACGCTATACTATACATTATACACTACTATACACTACACTATACACTACACTCTACGTAACACTACACTATAGACTACTATACACTACACACTGCACTGTACTATACACTATACACTGCACTACACACTATACTATACACGGCTATAAGCTACACTATACACTACACTATATACCACACTATACACTACGCTATACTATACACTACACTATACACTACACTATACCCGTGCACCCCTCCTGCACCCGTGTCGGGGTGGAGGAGGGTTGCCCGACAAAGACAAAGACCCCCTGTGTAGCCTTAACGGACTGTCGGGGCAAGTGCTGTTAGCGAGCAGCACCTATGAAGGCCGGCACGGCACACGAGGGGGTGGGTGGCCAGCAACCACGCCCGGCCGCCTTTGTCTCCCCCAGTGGCGACGTTTACTACACCACCGCACCAGGTGCTCATTTGAGGCCGAGGCGACCTAAGGGAGGCCCAGGACCGGTTCGGATAGTCGTCACCGGTGGTGTTGGCCCTGAGAGAGGGGGATCGAACTCCGGTCGGCAGCCTCTGTGCGCAGTGTAGCGCTAACCAAGACTACACTACCGCTCCCCACACGGAAAACACCACCACCACCAACCAACCACCACCAACCAACCACAACCACCACAACCACCAACCACCACGCGTGTGCGGTTAAACAATTCCTCACCGGGTCACCCGGCGCCTGATCCTCCCCTCCGCTCTGCCGGCGCCCGTCGCTTGCCGCGACGTCTGCGCTGCCCTCCATGCCTGTGAAACGACAACAACAACATTATGAGACCTCCTTTGCCAGAAACAAGATATGAGAATAGGTTTTACCCTTTCAACTGGCACAAAAACTGACACCTTTATTCAAGGCATCATGTTTGCAATAACCACAACACAAGCAGTCAAAATGCAAACAAAAAAGACAACTCTGATAATAATATGCACTCTGATAGTGCGCTGTTTTTGAGTTGTACGCCTTCTGGCGTCTTCTGGTCCAACACCAATGGAGACTAAAGGGCTCTAAGAAAAGCCGTCTCGGGTGTGGACCAATCAAATTCAAGGACAGTGCATATTATTATCAGAGTTGTCTTTTTTGTTTGCATTTTGACTGCTTGTGTTGTGGTTATTGCAAACATGATGCCTTGAATAAAGGTGTCAGTTTTTGTGCCAGTTGAAAGGGTAAAACCTATTCTCAACAACAACAACATCACCATCGTCACGATCATCATCGTCGTCGTCGCGATCCATGGGCAGATATCGCGAACCATGGGCAGATATCGCGAACTAGCAGCATTGGGGGCGTCCGCTGCACCTTTCGCCATTTGTTGATTTCCACATTCCACTCTCTGTCCCCATGTGCCAATGTGCTCTGGTAGTGTGGTACCGCATCGTAGTGTGTAGTGTATAGTGTAGTGTATAGTGTAGTGTATTGTAGTGTATAGTGTAGTGTATAGTAGTGTATAGCGTAGTGTATAGTGTATGGTAGTGTACAGTGTAGTGTATAGTGTAGTGTATTGAAGTGTATAGTGTATTGTAGTGTATAGTGTAGTGTATAGTAGTGTAGAGTGTAGTGTATAGTGAGATGTATAGTAGTGTATAGTGTAGTGTATAGTAGTGTATAGTGTAGTGTATAGTAGTGTATAGGGTAGTGCATAGTGTTGTGTAAAGTTGTGTATAGTATTGTATAGTAATGTAAAGTGTAGTGTATAACATTGTAGTGTATAGTAGTGTAGTGTAAAGCGTAGTGTATACTGTAATGTTAGCGTAATGTATAATTGTGTAGTGTATAGTGTAGTGTATAGTAGCGTAATGTATAATAGTGCAGGGTATAGTGTAGTGTATAGCCACGTAATGTATAATAGTGCAGTGTATAGTGCAGTGTATAGCTGCGTAATGTATAATAGTGCAGTGTATGGTGTAGTTTATAGCCACGTAATGTATAATAGTGCAGTGTATAGTGTAATGTATAACAGCGTAATGTATAACAGTGTAGTGTATAGTGTAGTGTATAGATGTGTGTAGTGTATCGTAGTGTTCAGCGTAGTGTATAGTGTAGTGTATAGTATAGTGTAAAGTGTAGTGTAGTGTATAGCAGCGTAATGTATAACAGTGTAGTGTATAGATGTGTGTAGTGTATCGAAGTGTTTAGTGTAGTGTTTAGTGTAGTGTATAGTGTAGTGTATAGTAGTGTATAGTGTAGTGTTTAGTGTAGTGTACAGTAGTGTATAGTGTGTATAGTAGTGTATAGTGTAGTGTATAGCAGCGTAATGTATAATAGTGTAGTGTATAGTGTAGTGTTAGTGTAGTGTATAGTGTAGTGTATAGTAGTGCATAGTGTAGTGTATAGTAGTGTATAGTGTAGTGTATAGTGTAGTGTATAGTGTAGTGTATAGTGTAGTGTATAGTGTAGTGTTTAGTGTAGTGTATAGTGTAGTGTATAGTAGTGTATAGTGTATTGTATCGTGTAGTGTATAGTAGTGTATAGTGTAGTGTATAGTGTAGTGTATCATCATCGTCGTCCTCCTCATTACAATCCATGGGCAGCAGCAGCAGCAGCAGTAAGTGTGTCCGCCACACATTTCATCAATTGCCGTTTTCACTTTCCTCTCCCTGCCTGGCGGTGCCAAAATTGTCAGGTCGTAGTGGAGGGGAACCTGACATCTTACGTCAAGCCATTTCTCCGAACAACAACAACAACAACACGTTTCACGTTGCTATTGTTGTCCAGCCTACTACGTACATCTGCGTGTGTCCAAACAGGGGAGAGGGGGGTGGGAGGAGCGGTGGTGCAGTGGTCAGCGCCACGCTGCACTACGGAACCCACCAGAGACCCCGGCGGTTCGATCCCCGCTCACGGCCAACGCCGCCGGTGACGATTATCTCAACCGGTCCTGGGCCTGCCTTAGGTCGACTCAGCCTCAAATGAGCACCCCGGTGCGATGTGTAAACGTCGCCACTGGGGGAGACAAAGGCGGCCGGGCGTGGTGTTGGCCACCCCACACCCCCTCGCGTAGCCTTCGTAGGGGCCGTCCATAAATGACGTCAGGCGATTTTGGACCCTCCCACCCCCCCCCTTCGTCGGCACACGGCGTCACGAAAAGTCAGACCCCCCCTAAAATATGACGTCACAAAGCTCTGCCCCCCCCCCCCCACCCTTCAAAACGATATTTAACATTTTGAAAATAAAACACGCTTCAAATCGCTTTAAGCTATTGTCGTTGTAGTGCGTATTTAATGTGGCGCTGCACTCTGACGTTGTAGGAGAAAACATTTATTTAAAAAAAGTCTATTTAATCAAGTAGAAAGTGTTGTCTATATTTATTTAAAGTTGCGAATTTTGATGTGACGTCACATTTCTCACCCCCTCCTCCCCACCCTCGTCAGACATCGTCACAAATGTCTGATCGCCCCCCCCAAGGTGCGTGACGTCATTTATGCACTACAATAATACCGCTCGCCACATGTAAAACATCACCACCACCATCAACCACCACCACCAACCAACCACCACCATCAACCACCACCACCAACCAACCTCCACCACCAACCAACCACCACCAACCACCACCAACCAACCTCCACCACCACCAACCAACCTCCACCACCAACCAACCACCACCACCAACCAACCTCCACCACCAACCAACCACCACCAACCACCACCAACCAACCTCCACCACCACCAACCAACCACCACCACCAACCAACCACCACCAACCAACCACCACCACCAACCAACCTCCACCACCACCAACCAACCTCCACCACCAACCAACCACCACCACCAACCAACCACCACCAACCAACCACCACCACCAACCAACCTCCACCACCAACCAACCACCACCACCAACCTCCACCACCAACCAACCACCACCACCAACCAACCACCACCAACCAACCACCACCACCAACCAACCTCCACCACCAACCAACCACCACCACCAACCTCCACCACCAACCAACCTCAACCACCACCAACCAACCACCACCAACCAACCTCTACCACCACCAACCAACTCCACCACCAACCAACCTCCACCATCCCCAACCAACCACCACCAACCAACCACCACCAACTAACCACCACCACCAACCTCCACCACCTACCAACCACCACCAACCAACCTCCACCACCACCAACCAACCTCCACCATCACCAACCAACCACCACCAACCAACCACCACCAACTAACCACCACCACCACCAACCAACCACCACCAACCAACCTCTACCACCACCTACCAACTCCACCACCAACCAACCTCCACCATCACCAACCAACCACCACCAACCAACCACCACCAACTAACCACCACCACCAACCAACCTCCACCACCAACCACCACCACCAACCAACCTCCACCACAACCACCAACCAACCACCACCACCACCAATCACCACCAACCACCACCACCAACCAACCTTCACCACTACCACCAACCAACCTCCACCACCAACCAACCACCACCAACCAACCTCCACCACCACCAACCAACCACCACCACCAATCACCACCAACCACCACCACCAACCAACCTCCACCACCACCAACCTTCACCACTACCACCAACCAACCTCCACCACCACCAACCAACCACCACCACCAATCACCACCAACCACCACCACCAACCAACCTCCACCACCAACCAACCTTCACCACTACCACCAACCAACCTCCACCACCACCAACCACCACCAACCAACCAACCACCACCACCCACCACCACCAACCACCACCACCAACCACCACCACCAACCAACCTCCACCACCAACCAACCTCCACCACCACCACCAACCAACCTCCACCACCAACCAACCTCCACCACGACCACCACCAACCAACCTCCACCACCACCACCAACCAACCTCCACCACCACCACCAACCTCCACCACCAACCACCACCAACCACCACCACCAACCAACCACCACCACCAACCAACCACCACCACCAACCAACCTCCACCACCAACCAACCTCCACCACCAACCAAACACCACCACCACCAACCACCACCACCACCAATCACCACCAACCACCACCACCAACCAACCTCCACCACCAACCAACCTCCACCATCACCAACCACCACCACCAACCAACCAACCACCACCACCACCACCAACCACCACCACCAACCACCACCACCACCAACCTCCACCACCAACCAACCTCCACCACCACCAACAACCCACCACCACCACCAACCAATCACCACCACCACCACCAACCAACCTCCACCACCAACCAACCTCCACCACCACCAACCAACCTCCACCACCACCACCACCACCACCAACCAACCTCCACCACCACCACCACCAACCTCCACCACCACCAACCAACCTCCACCACCACCACCAACCACCACCAACCAACCACCACCACCAACCAACCACCACCACCACCAACCTCCACCACCACCAACCTCCACCACCACCAACCAACCTCCACCACCACCACCACCAACCACCACCAACCAACCACCACCACCACCAACCTCCACCACCAACCAACCACCACCACCACCAACCTCCAACACCAACCAACCACCACCAACCACCACCACCAACCAACCTCCACCACCACCAACCAACCTCCACCACCAACCAACCACCACCACCAACCAACCACCACCACCAACCTCCACCACCAACCTCCACCACCAACCAACCACCACCAACCTCCACCACCACCAACCAACCTCCACCACCACCACCACCAACCACCACCACCACCAACCTCCACCACCACCA